CCTACACTCTGTACCTCTAGAAATTCTATAGTCTTCTGTGTATTCCTTTCTGATCAAAATCAACATCTTCCCAGTCGAACATGTATTCACGTACATTGATACTAGCAAAGAGATCATGGGGTTTGAAGACTATTTCATGTCCATTCAGGTGAAAAGGACGCCTACTTCCTGCGATTTAGTATTTCTCGTAATTGAAGCTGTGTGACATCGGTTTTTCGTTTGCCATTAATTCATTTGGTGTGTATATAACACTAAATCTTCAAGACTGGGTTGCATCGGCACCTGAACTAGTGATAGGGAGTGAAGTAGTCGAACGTGTAGACCGCTTCACTTATCTGGGGAGTCCCATCAGTGCCGATGGCCTGGTGACTGACGAAATCTCAGCACAGATACAGAAGGCTCGATTGGCTTTTGCCAACCTGCGTCACTTATGGCGTAGGCAAGATATCCGTTTGCTGACTAAAGGACGATTGTACTGTGCAGCAGTTCGCTCCGTTCTCCTATATGGCTGTGAAACATGGCCAGTGAGAGTAGAAGATATTCGTAGGTTACTGGTTTTCGATCATAGGTGTCTTCGAAGCATTGCTCGTATACCGTGGGACAACCGAGTAAGCAATGCTGTCGTTAGGAAACGAGTACTAGGCAAGGATGGCAGATCAATCGATGAAGTGGTGAAACTTCATCAGTTGAGGTGGTTGGGACATGTGTTGCGTATGCCCAACCACCGACTGCCTCGACGAACTTTGTTTTGTAGTGTAGGAGTAGGTTGCAAGAAAGTTAGGGGCGGCCAGACCAAAACATGGCAGAAATCCATGAAGTCATTGACTAGTGGACTGAGCCATGTCGGTAATTGTCGACTACCTGGTTTGGGTCCGCGAGATGATAATAATCGATGGTTAGAGACCTTGAATGACATGGCTCAAAATCGTTCGCAATGGCGCAGGTGCATTTATTATTTGTGTTCTCTCAAACCCTTATCTTCTGCATTCTTCAACACCTCTAGTTTCGACTCTCTAAACTTTTCTCATTTAATCATACTTCTTGAATAGTATCTTCTAATCCTAACCTCTCCGATTACTTCTAATTCCCTTACTACCTCTACTACTATTGGATTTGAATTGACAATTATATCTCTGTGCTGATGTGGTATGGCAACATAAACTGATGTACTTACGTACGAAGTTCTGCGTTGCATCTGACTGACTGATAACACTAAATGAAGTGATTTTGCTTGTTTGTTTGTTATATCCATTAAAAAACGGCTTCAATATTGTTGATATAATTCCTAATGTTTATTATATATGGTAGGATAATGTATTTCTGATAGTTCACTTTTTAAAAAAAAGAATAATAAATTACTTTGCAGTTACACATATTTACATATATTCAACTAATTACAGACACCATTAAACATAAGAAGCTAGACATGAACTAATTTAATAAGAAATCTTAGAAAATATATTTTTCACATTACTGAACGACTCATTCAAGAAAAATAGATTCATTTAACTATTTAAATCTGAAAAAAATTATTCATATCTTTTATACGAGTAACTACATCCAGAAATGCTTTAGAATTAGAGTTTTGGTTCAAAAAAAAGATAGACAGCTAACATAAAGTATATATTCACTCATTGAATTTTCTCACAAAACAATAATGACAACACTTTTAAATAAACCTTTACATTTAAATCTTGTGATAATTTATAAAATTTAGATTGATTTCATTTTTTTCTGTGTATTCATGTATTTTATTTAATTGAATCTTCGTTATTTCCTAAACATATTTTGCTTCAATATACAATTGATACAATTTATGTGATGTAAAAATAACGAGAGAATATTATTTTTGCAATTGATGATTATCATTGAATATATTTACTGATAGTATACGCCTTTATTTTTATTGTGATACAAATTATGCACTAAATATTTATTAAATACTAAATTTCAAATAACTATATATATATATATACGAATGTCTATTATCTTTATTTTCATGATTGAATCTTTCAATGAAAATAAAATAAAATTTACAGATGACTAATAACAAATAGGAGAAATTATTAGTTAAAATCAACTTCAGTTCGAGTTACAACATTAGAAAATATATATGGTTATTTTGATCGAGCGGTTTGTGTTATCATTATTGATAGAATTCAGCATTCAATGGCACTAGAATAAAATTACTTTTCTGAATAAATCACAATCATAATGTAAAGTATCCAGTAGAATGTGACCAAGCTAAGAGTAATGAAGTTGCTTTTCCTTTCGACATGAACTGTGTCAGAAAAAAAAACGTTTGAAGTTCATTTATAGTTGAGACAATAAATATCACTGGTTGTAGACATTCAATCGATAAGCATTATCGTTGATTAAAATATCATAGCTACATTCAAAATCTACCTTCAAACTTCGGAGTACTTATTTTTTCTTTTTCTGACCTTATATCCTACTTGTTTATTCTAACATTCTTTTTTCCTGTGCAGTTTTAATTTCTGAACTGAACTGGTGTCAAATTTTAAGTTGATAATGCTCAATTACAACTCGCCGGTTTTTAAAAATTATTATTGATTTTTTTGTGAACAGAAATGCCCGTTTGAATGTAAGTGTGCTTGTTTTGGTCTAATCTTAGTACAGCTAATAATAATAATAATAAATTACTTAATTATTCATGGATTTTGTACTTTCTAGACAGTTAGATCCTGATAGATTTAAAAAATTAATCTATACTCTTTTTGATTTTGATATTGGAAACAAATTGTTTGTTCTTAAAACTGCATGATTAACACGGTATAAAACCATGATGATGAAGTCCGCGACATAATTGAGATAAATAGTTTGAGGCATTTGGTGACATAACTAAGAATTGGTCACATAAACGCAGAACCATTACCTTTACATCTTGAGTTCCAATGTTCATTCATACATACTTATTAATACTGTATTTGTATACCATATTCGCGACATATAACCTTCTTAAATATCACTGTCAGTAGATTATTTCGACTTCTGCCAGTGTCATTTTATTAGGCTTTTATACTTAAGTCGATACACTTTTGAAAGAGTCTATTTGTCGTCCATCCTGATTACTAACAAAAAAAGACTTCCTCTTTCTCCTTTTGGTCGACTGGGCTATGAGGGTGTTAACATATGAGAGGAAGCATGGGTTGCAGTGGACGGCTCGGATGCAACTACACGATTTGAACTTCACAGATGATCTACCTCTCCTGTCGCACACACAACGACAAATGCAGGAGAAGACGGCCAGTGTGGCACCAGCCTCTGCAGCAGTAGGTCTCAACATATACAAGAAAAAAGCAGGATTGTAAGATAGAACTCAACACGCACCAACCGAATCAAAATTGATGGAGAAGCTCTGGGAGATGTGGAACCCTTCACATAATTTACCAGCATCATTGATCAATAAGGTGGATATGATGCAGATGTGAAGACACATATTAGCAAAGTGAGGGCAGCATTTCCACAATTGAAGAATATCTAGGACTCAAGACAATTGTCAACCAACACAAAGGTCAGAATCGTCAATACAAACGTCAAGTCAGCTCCATTGTATGGAGCGGAAACTCGGAGAACTGCGAAAGCCATCATTCACAAGATACTGGTGTTTATTAACAGTTGCCTACGCAAAATACTTCGGATTCGTTGGCCAGGCATCATCAGCAACAACCTACTGTGAGAGAGAACAAATCAGATTGCAGCTGAGGAAGCAATCAAGAAAAAGCGGTGGAATTTGATAGGAAACACACTTTGGAAAGCACCGATCTGCGTCACAAGAGACTGCTGATCGGTAGCCACGCTCCGTGAGGGGTAACAGGCGTAGGTGAGTGATGTTACAGATCAACTGTAGCCGGATAGATAGTCAACTGGTTTCCAGCTCGGCTGCCGAAAGTTAGTATACCCACCACGAAACCAGGTTTTTGGTTCAGTTATTGAAGTTTTCTTGGATGATAGGGCTGGAGTTTGATGGGAAACTTACTACTGAAAGCAGCCAGCTATGTCCACAGGCAAGCCCTTACTTGGAACCTCCAAGACCAATGGAAGAAAAGTATACCAAATAACACATTGCACCGAGAACTGAAGGCTAGATCAGTAAAAATGGTGAACAACGGGAAAGGATGTTCCAAGATGGGTTTGGTTGGAGGTTGCTGGTCTACAGCCACACTCCATAAGGGTAGCGGTCGTTAGTAAGTAAACAGTGCCATGCTTTTACGGATAACAAGTTTATTTACAGTATTTAGATGAATAATATCCTTCATTTTAATCATAGCCAGATTAATCATAAGCCTATAAAATCTAGCCAAATTATTTTATAACTGGCGAATGAATGTTGATCTCTTCACCTATTTTTATTTTTCCTTTACGGATTGTTGATGTTTAATGTTGATTAAAGTTCATTTATTTTAAAATTCACTATTGCGAAATAACATATTTAGTCCTCAGAAATTATCCAAATGCTCTTAATCTTTAAAATTCAAACAACCATTTCAGTTTTTATTAGTTATGGAGAACAGCTGAAAGATGTGGTTTTTTTAGATATTAATTATGGGTATTTATCATGATTAATTCTTATTTACTCATCAACTTTAACTGATATTTGATCAACATACCTTATTCAACAAATTCTTACCTGCAGTGACAAGTATGATTAGAATATGGTAGTAAAAATCAAGAACAATTCATTAATTCAGTAAGTCATTGATTTCTGATTAAAGTCGTATAGTCAACATGAATCTTTGTCGGTAGATTTGGTAATTCGTTTTCTGATAAAATAGATTGTTTTGAAGCATGCTTACGCTAATTATCAGAATACTTAATACCTCTTATCAATAAAATTACATGAAGCTAATAAACTGTTTAAGTACATCTCAAGTTTGAATTTATGAAAATGCTATTTATTAATTAGTGATAATCCTGAGTTTTGCACTATTCACTAAATAATACTCTTTTCCCTTAATTGATGTCGTATGAAATGATAGACTGGAATTTTGAATTTGGTTTCGTAATACCTGGTTCTACAAATACATGGCAGTCGCTCATTCAATCCGACTCAGCGGATCGCATGATTCCAGCTAAAGTATTAAGGCAAGTTTTTTGACTAGTAAACTTTAATTTACTTGATAATAAATTTGTTTGAGTGATTTTGACTACTGAAAGCAGACACCAAATAAACATACCTAGTAGGGATCTACTACCTGACCAAGAAATCCAAGGACATTTAAATCCAGTTCAATTGATGCACTTTTGACATCTCATAATATAGCATTAACTGATTTACTCTCATATATAGTAGAGAGAGAGAGCTACAATAGATTAAATTAAAAGTTTTATATTTCATACCATTTGATGGCAATCAAACAAAAATTTGTTTTGTCAACCGTGAATTTATATTAGTTGAATCAAATGCAAATAAGTACTTTTCTCACAATTCTACATAGATAAAAAAAAATGGCGAAATGAGTTCAATCAGTGAACCAATGAACTGTATGTTTTTCTAATAGTTTTGTCATGTATAAATCATTTATCTATGTTTTGCATTGAATTTTTAACATTTCATTAAAAGTCTATGTCAATGAACAAACATATTTGAGAAATTCCTTTAAAATTTGATATTCACATATGTTAATGAAAATTCCAAGATGGTTAATTATTGAATGACAAAAGCAACCGAACAGTTGTCAGATACACGGTTGAGACTACTGTCCAAAGTACATTCAAGAAAACTTCAATAACTGAACCAAAAACCTGGTTTCGTGGTGGGTATACTAACTTTCGGCAGCCGAGCTGGAAACCAGTTGACTATCTATCCGGCTACAGTTGATCTGTAACATCACTCACCTACGCCTGTTACCCCTCACGGAGCGTGGCTACCGACCAGCAATCTCTTGTGACGCAGATCGGTGCTTTCAAAGTGTGTTTCCTATCAAATTCCAGCGCTTTTTCTTGATTGCTTCCTCAGCTGCAATCTGATTTGTTCTCTCTCACAGTAGGTTGTTGCTGATGCTGCCTGGCCAACGAATCCGAAGTATTTTGCGTAGGCAACTGTTAATAAACACCAGTATCTTGTGAATGATGGCTTTCGCAGTTCTCCGAGTTTCCGCTCCATACAATAGAGCTGACTTGACGTTTGTATTGACGATTCTGACCTTTGTGTTGGTTGACAATTGTCTTGAGTCCTAGATATTCTTCAATTGTGGAAATGCTGCCCTCACTTTGCTAATATGTGTCTTCACATCTGCATCATATCCACCTTATTGATCAATGATGCTGGTGAATTATGTGAAGGGTTCCACATCTCCCAGAGCTTCTCCATCAATTTTGATTCGGTTGGTGCGTGTTGAGTTCTATCTTACAATCCTACTTCTTCTCTTGTATATGTTCAGACCTACTGCTGCAGAGCCCGACCGTAGCTGCTACCTTGACGTGGTGGTCGGGCTTGCCTATCGTGATGACCCAACCGAGCTATACTGGCTGGAACACATGTTCCTGCAGGTCCTACCATGCCAGGCAGGTGGATTGGAGAACGATCAGACTAAAAGCAGCTACCCAAGGTCTGAGGGCGAAGTCGTACTGCTGACTGCAGAGGGGTGTGACAGCAGTAAGGTGTTTCCCTCGGACAACCAGCATCTGCGGCGATGCTGCCTTCTCACAAGGAAGGAAGGGTTAGAAAATGTCGATCCTGAAAATGTCACACACCCTACCTCACGAATTTCCGTCTCCTTGGGTAAGGGTGCCCACTAAGGGCCTTTAAGTGCGGACCTAAAACTCAAAAAACTTCTCATAAAAAGGCCGTGCGTGACCGGGCTCAAGCAGTTGTCCCTTGGACTCTGCGGTCACGCACCCAGGTCTCTAAGACCAACACTAATCTATTTTCCTTTTCAGGTCCGTCAAGAAACAACCTTCCACGGCGTGGGCAGCCGGGAAGTGACAACCGCCCACATACCCGTAATAGCACGCGAGACCAAATTGGTCAAAATCAAATCCTTCCTACACACCCCAATCCCTGATGCTGCTTCCAGGAGTCTTGCTGGCGTAGGCATAGCGTTGAGTCCTAGGGCAGAATTATCTCTCCTAGACTGGATCCCAGTAGATAGTCGTTTGTGCGCTGTCCGACTAAACGGGACAGTAAGGACTCGGAAAGATAGGGACACTCGCCGTTGCCTCTTCGTCATATCTGCCTATGCCCCCACTGACTGCAGTGCAGACGAGGTTAAAGATGAGTTTTACAGAAAGCTTTCGGACCTCCTCCAAAAAGCTAAGCACTCTGACATAGTAATAATGGCTGGTGACTTTAATGCTCAAGTAGGTAGACTAGGTGAAAAGGAAAGACATCTTGGTGGATGTTATGGTGTAGCGACTGAGAGAACAGACAATGGCGACCGTCTGTTGCAACTATGCTCAGATAACCGCCTATTCTTAGCGAACACCAACTTTAGGCATAAGGAAAAGCATCTGTTGACCTGGCGACCTCCAAAGTCGTCTCAACGTTGGACTCAACTAGATCACATCGCCATCAGCCACCGATGGAGGGGTTCGATAGAAGACTGTCGCTCGTTCTGGAGCACATGTTTGGATTCAGATCATGCTCTAGTGCGAGCTCGTATCTGTTTAAGGCTTACTGGACGTAGGAAAGACACCGTAAGAAAGCCTCTCAGGGTTTTACTTAATGATAATCAATTCAAGAAAATATTTCAGGAGCAACTAGAAAGAGAGTTAAGCAACCATGCAAGCGATTCCCATCCGGAAGCAGGTTAGTATGATATCAAAAAGGCTGTGGAAACAGCAGTGATATCTGCTAGGAAGGTAAACCATAGGGCTAGGATGAAGCCGGGGATATAAGTCGCATCCACCGAACTGACGGATGCTCGAAAACGCATCCAACCTGACTCTGAGCATGATGAAGAGCGTAGTCAGCTTAGGCGCAGACTTATAAAAAGTCTGCGTAACGACCGCGAACAGTGGTGGGTGGCGAAAGCAAAAGCGATGGAAAAGGCAGCGGAGATCGGCAACAGTAGACAACTTTTCCGCCTTATTAAATAAACCGGTATTAGGAACCCGAATGTGAGTGAGACTATCTCGGAAAAGGATGGGATTATTATCCATTCTCAATCCAGGAGACTGGATCGATGGGCAGAACACTTTAGGGATCAGTTCAACTGTCCTCGAGCCACACTTCGGTTGCCCACGATCTCCAGTCATCCTGAATGGCAAATCGACCTAAGCACCCCTAGTCTTAATGACGTTGAGAAAGCGTTAGGAAATCTGAAACGAGGACGAGCTGCGGGTCCTGATAGACTGACCCCTGAGATATTTAAGGATGGTGGTCCAGTTTTAGCAGCTAGGTTGACTGAGATCTTAGATAGAATCTGGGAACTGGACGCAATCCCATCCGACTGGTCTCAATCACTGATTGTCCCGATCTATAAGAAAGGACGAAAGTCTTCTTGTGACAATCACAGGGGAATCAATCTAACTAATATAGTATCCAAAATATTGGCCTCAATAATACTTCGACGCATAACGAAAGCTCATGAAGAGTAGACTCGAGAAAACCAGGCTGGTTTTCGACCTGGACGTGGTTGTATAGACCACGTCTTTACACTCAGACAGGTCCTGGAACATAGACACACATTTAGGCGTCCTACAATAGTTGTTTTCCTAGACCTTAAGGCGGCATTTGACTCTGTGGATCGTGAGGTTCTGTGACAGTGTCTGTCATTGAAAGGTGTACCAAAGAAGAACATTAACCTTATACAAGCCCTTTACTCGAACACTACTGGTCGAGTGAGGGCTTATGGCGAAGTGTCACCGGAATTCTCTACATCAAGTGGTGTCCGTCAGGGATGTCCAATTTCTCCATTCTTGTTTAATTTTATCGTAGACATACTCCTAGAAATAACCTTATTCCCGTCTGAAATTTCAGGAGTAGACCTTCTACCAGGTGGCTCGCTTATTGACTTAGAATATGCCGATGACATTGTCCTACTTGGTGAAGATGCTGACAAAATGCAGAGTTTTCTGACTAACATAAGCAACAATGCGAGCATGTTCGGGATGCGGTTTTCCCCCTCGAAATGCAGACCGCTTCACTTATCTTGGGAGTCTCATCAGTGCCCATGGCCTGGTGACTGACGAAATCTCAGCACAGATACAGAAGGCTCGATTGGTTTTTGCCAACCTGCGTCACTTATGGCGTAGGCGTGATATCCGTTCTCTAATCAAAGGACGAGTGTACTATTCAGTAGTTCGCTCCATCCTACTATACGGATGCGAAACATGGCCAGTGAGAGTAGAAGATATTCGTAGGTTACTGGTTTTCGATCATAGGTGCCTCCGAAGCATTGGTCGAGCATCGTGGGACAACCGAGTAAGCAATGCTGTCGTTAGGAAACGAGTACTAGGTAAGAATTGCAGATCAATCGATGAAGTATTGAAACTTCACCAGTTGAGGTGTTTGGGACATGTGTTACGTATGCCCAACCACCGACTGCCTCGTCGAGCCTTGTTTTGTAGTGTAGGAATAGGTTGGAAGAAAGCTAGAGGCGGACAGACCAAAACATGGCACAAATCCATGAAGTCATTGACTAGTGGACTGAGCCATGTCGGTAATTGTCGACTACCTGGTTTGGGTCCGCGAGATGATAATAATCGATGGTTAGAGACCTTGAATGACATGGCTCAAAATCGTTCGCAATGACGCAGGTGCATTTATTATTTGTGTTCTCTCAAACCCTAATCTCCTGGATTCTTCAACCCCTCTAGTTTTGACTTTCTAAACTTATCTCACTGAATCATACTTCTTGAATAATATCTTCTAATCCTAAGCTCTCCGATTACTTCTAATTCCCTTACTACCTCTACTACTATTGGATTTGAATTGACAATTACTTCTCTGTGCTGATGTGGTATGGCAACATAAACTGATGTACTTACGTACGAAGTTCTACGTTGCATCTGACTGACTGCTTCAGAGGCTGGTACCACACTGGCCGTCTTCTCCTGCATTTGTCGTTGTGTGTGCGACAGGAGAGGTAGATCATCTGTGAAGTCCAAATCATGTAGTTGCATCCGAGCCGTCCACTGCAACCCATGTTTCCTCTCAGATGTTAACACCCTCATAGCCCAGTCGACCAGAAGGAGAAAGAGGAAGGCTGAGAGTAAGCAAACTTGTCTGACACCGGTTTTCACTTGAGATGAGTGTGCGAGTTGTCCTTCATGCAAGATTTTGTAGCTTAGTACACCGTAATAATTCCCTATGATGCTGACTATCTTCTCGGGTACACCATAGTGTCAAAGAAGGCTCCATAATATCATATTCATGCTGTCAAGTGCTTTCTCGTATTCGAGGAAGTTGATGTATAATGGTGAATTCCATTCAATTGATTTTTTCACAAATATTCTCAGTGTCGCGATTTGGTCGGTACACAATCGATCCTTTTATAATTCAGCCTGCTGATCTTGATTTTAGACATCTATTGAACAGTAGCCTATTGAAGTGTTTAGCTAGTATTGGTCGTACAGATATATTTATATAGTAGTCATTCAAATATTCAGTGAGAACTTGTGCATAAACAACAATCCATAGAGACGAAGGTTATGATAATAACACCTGAAATAATCATAACGATCAGATTGTAACTAAACTAGGATTACTCGCTTATTGTCAACATTGAGTGTTGTGAAGATTGTTGAATCTGATTGGAACCATGAACCGACCAAAGCTAGACGACTGAACGCCCATTTTGTCCTAATATGACACGCCTCAACAGCGCGTACTGTTAGCAATGAATTGTTCTGCAAGCACCTTTATTTTACACGCTGTAAACTAAAGTAAACTAGTAAGTTTACTCATTTCAAAGTGAATAGAATCTTTAAATAGTTTCTTAATATGTATCCCCGTGAATTTATTTGTTTACTTAACCTTTTTTGTTTTCATTTTAGTGGTAATGTTGTTATTGTAACACATTTCTATGATGGTGACCTATTAGTTAGCAAATCTAAAGTGCGAATATTTTACGTTTAATTGAAAGCGAATACATTACAAATAATCCTTAAACAAATTAGAATTTCAGGTGTAAACAATTGCTTATCATGGTGATATTGGGCTTGAAAAACCAATAAGAGAATTTTTCTCAAGATATTTCTTTAGTCTATTTACATTACCATTCGTCTTGTGTACTTATAGATGTTTTCTATTTCTAATTATTCCTGTTAATGTTACTAAAGCATAACTTTATTCTGTTCTTACTGTTCCTTAAACAACTTTCTTCATTTTTTTTGTATTTATTATTTACTTTCCCCTAGCGCCTATTTACTACAATTTTTTGCCAAGATCAAGCTTTCATACTTTTTTACATGTGATAGCGTTCATAAATAGCAGAAATAATGATGTAATTAAAACAGTCTTTAAGTATTAAAACATATCACTGCAAATCTGTAATTATTTAGAGTAACAAGATCTGAAAAGAAAACTAGTAATCGTTATCAACAAGGATTTGTCTTATTTTTATCAGGATCGGTTATTGCTTTTTCTTCTTCAAAACATGTGAAACTAATGAATTTTTGCATATCATTACCATTATATTAACTTAACACTGACTATGGTGTGATCCTATTTAGGTAGATTAGGCTTACATCCTGATTTGAAATATAACACAATCATCGTCTTCTGAACTCGGGGACGATATCAAGCCCCCATAGGCATTCGGAATAGATCAAGTATCGAACTATGCGCCACTTACTTGGAAGATCATCCAAGAAACCTAACCAGATTTCAATTTCGTGGTAATCAATAAACGACTTGCGAACTACTATGTAGAGAAATAGTATTTAATAAACCGCAGATAATCATACGATCTTTCGTAGTGTCTTGCCGTTTTAATACAAATAACTTAACCATATATGACTGACTAGTTGGTCGATGAACAAAAAGACTACCTACGTTGTTCTGTTATTTGTAATATAACCTTAGTGTGAGACAACAAACACAGTAGTTGAAAACGTAGATATAGATTTCAGGACCCCGCAACGGAGAATACTGATGGACATTCTCAGGTCGTTTAACCAAAAACTAAAGCATCATCTGCAAGCAAAACCAAGGAATCCTAAAGAGGTTCGTGCAAAACCCAAGACACTGAAAAATCGTAAACCTACCATGACTAAGAAGCTATCTACCCTGAAAAATTCAAATAATGCTGCTGAGATATTCCCTTGAAAAGTAAGCCAGACCTGTATAAGTATTGCCTCTAAGGAGAATAGTTCATTCGTTGGTGGATCACGCCTGTTGCGATCGAAGTTTAATCAACCGGTCAGCTGTAACCTAAATCTTGGTACCTACGTTCATCAGTCCAACTCACCATACCACATTAGCTAGGAGAAATGAAACTTTCGGGCCGCATCCCAGAGTAGTAAAGGTAGTAGCAATATTAGAGGTAGTGAAAAATATTAGGGATCGGAAACAAGCTTCGAAGAAATACAAACCAGCAAAATAAATAATGAGAAAGGCCCAATGGTGCTACGTTTTGGTTTGGCCACCCTTGACTTTCTCCCAGCTTACTACACCAGACAGCACTGCTCGTTGAGGTAGTCGATGGTTTGGCATACATAACACGTCCCCACTACCTTTGTTGATGAAGACTTACTACATCGTCAACTGGTTTGCCATCCTATGTTTAGGCCTTTCTTAACGCTTACTCGGTGGTCCAAAAATATAGGAGCGAGTCTTCGAGGACATGATTGGATACCAGTAACATACGAATATCCTTTATTGTTAATGGCCATGGTTCATACACGTAAAGTAGAACGAAGCGAACTGCTGCAGTGACTAATCTATTTTACATAAATCACATAATTCTCATCCGCAAATTGCGTAAGATAAACACAAGCACTGAGGTAATTCCTTCTCGGTACATGGTGTTACGTAACGTTAACCCGTCAACAGATTTGCGTCCTGCGTGGAGAACGGTTGTACGCAGTGAAGTGTATGAAAAATTATAAAAAATCCTAAGCTGGAAACCTAGTAAGCTCACAAAATGTACTTACAGTTAATAATGTAAAATTGTCGATATCGATTAACAGCGCACAGGTAACAACGAAAGACAATCTGCAAATGGAAAAATGGTCTTGAATGTAATAGTGTTGGGTACGTGAGATCCCCAGAACTCGCTTGATGTCTTAGTTTTAGATTTTATTCATGTACTGACCAGTTGGCCCTGAGACCACATTTCCCACCAGGAAGATCCTTGGCTGTAATTGGTTACTGTGTTATTATAGTGTGCTATTTTTGTAACTCTCCCAAGGACGTCTCTGTGGTGTATAAATTAACGCGATTTGGCTTGAGATCATTGTGCTTGTTGGGTGTTAGTAGAAGACACTTTCTAGGCTATATCAAGACTTTTAGTTAGTTCCTTTGGGTCAACGGATCAGAAAAATCTACGTGGACGCTGGTTCATTGACTCGTTTATCGACTAAGGTGGACCCGTAGTAGTTTCAAGCATAACAAGTGACGACTTTAACATACACAACTAAATGGTCAATAATATATAAATGCCACCTGTTTTACTATAGTAAAACAGGTGGCAATTCTTAGACCACTTAGTGCGGCCTCGAGAGTCAGTTAGTACGATTAAGATTTTCTGGGAGGCTGAATGTAAAGTTGTACAAAGTTTAAAAACAAATTTATTCCCAACCTGGCTTATCTCGATGTACCTAGGCCACACATAATGTGATAAACTATTCATTATTCAGACTACAGCAGCTGATTGTCTCTTGTGGACACTACTAAAAAAACTTACCATCCTCATAGTCGTGGACTAATAAAAATACTGACAGTCAATTCCGCTTCTGTTGTTGGCATTTCAAGCGGCAATCTGTCGTTTACTCTTAAATGACTGAGTAATGGATCGAAGTGCTAAGATATCTGAAATTGATATTCTCTTGAATGAAGTACAAAAATCCTCTAAAATAAATGAGTTGAGCACTACCACTGAATAAAGATAGTGTGAATAATACAGGGAGTTGAAAAATTTGTGTTTCATAATTTAGTGAGAAGTGGGACTTTGATCCACATATATCTGCTTCGTGTTAAAAATACTCAACATTTAATTCTGATTACTATTCTCCAACATCACTAAGTTAATGAGTAACTCCGTAAAAAGTCCAAAAGAAAAGTCGAGTAAAGTGCTTTCTAGGTAATACGAGATAATCTGTGACATATAACGTAGAAATGAACAACGGTTGAGATATGTTTGAAGACATTAGATAAGATCTTCATTCTCTGCATATCTCGGTAGATAATCTAATTACCATGGTATAATAAGGACAAAAACGGTGGATTATATTCAAGTTTATCATAACCCGATTAATCTCATTTATCTTGACCGCTTTTATATTTCAGCATGCAAGTATATGATAATGAATTTTCACGAACAGTTAATATCACCTCGATGCAACATTACAATCTGCCACACTATATCAATAGAGCGATACGGAATTATCAAGAGAAAACCTGATATTAGTAGAATCAATAAGTAACAGTAGCAGTAGAAAAAAAATCAAATTCCATGATAAAGAATGACATTGTACAATAAAAAATGTTTGTCGATTTTGTGACTTAGGTTCTAAGGGCAGACAGAAAATACATCTGCTTCACTGTCATCGACTTTGAGGCATGCCACTCAACGTCTCAGGCCATTGGTTACAATAACTGCGCGACAACAACCAGGTAGTATGAATGCACCGAGCCAGACAATAATTTAGCAATTAATCGTGCCATTATTGTGTGAGTTATTCCATATTTCTTCAAATGACCAGTTATGAACTTTTATCCACGTGCACTTCCATATGTGTGGCTGTTTACAGGTCCGTCTTCTTGGCTTAAGCACATAGACTATATTCGGGATACATATACAAGTGTATTATCATTCCTTCTTGTCAGTTCATGTAACACATAATTTCTTCACATTTTAGACTTTATACATCCAATGTGCTGGTATAATATGTGTAAAGTAATACTTTCCCTAACACATATTATGACTTATAATTTTTTCATCATTGACAATCATTGTAACATCAAGGTGTTCTAGTAGTAAGTTAATTAAGTTATATAGGATACCAAAGTATTAAAGTCAGATTCGCCTACAAAAATGGTCAACTCTAACTTAGAACTCTCAATGTTACAACTAAAAATTAATAATTTTCTAACAATAGCGTAGTATTGATTGTATTTGCGAAATAACTTGACGTATGATAATAATTTTTTCCAATCTTCAGATCAAACTTCTTACACGGCTTGAGCTCGTTTCATTTTATCATATCATTTTATCGCACATTATTCGATGGTTCAGCATTAAGCATCGCTAATAATGCCACATGGATTGAAAATTTATAATGTCAATTTTGCTAGTAAAGAGTAAAATATTTACAACAGTGAAAAAAAAATGAGAAATTTTGACATCATAGGTGCGGAGTAGAAATACACAACTCATTTCTACTCTTCAAGAGTTGGAAGCCAGAACGATGTTTGGTTTGATCCTGTAGCTAACATTGCGAACCGGGGATTAAAGGCCAGACTATGAATAGCTGCGTTTGGCAACTGAGTAGCAGCTTCGTAACCTGGTAGGCTTGCCACACGTACTCCAGTTTCAACAGACCAAATATGTACAATTCCATCCGGAGAACCAATTAAAACAAACTGACTGTCTGGTGTAAAACTGGCATGTAAAGTTTGTCTATCAGTATTGGGTATGACCTGTCAAGGTGAAGCAATTCTTTTAAATAGATTTTGACACAGAATATTCAAACAAAATTAAGATCTATAATTTAGGAGCAATAGTTGTATACGCCTGACTAATAGTCTGGAATGCGACAATTAAACAAAAATTTCGGCTCAACTACCCTGTACAGGTTTTTGCAAAAAAGTATAAATCACATATCTGTTGTGTGAGGGCTAACGATAGTGCCTAATTGTTAAACACTAGAAAATGAAGACAAGTTCGTAAACCCCACACCACCGAATGAACAGTTCAAATGTACAAATCAATTTTCCTGATAAAGTAAACTTGTAACCAAAGTTTTCATTTCTATGGTCGTTTTATAAACATGGTAAAATTGTATGTTTACCAAAGAATGATTTACATGTTTAGTGAAATGAAACAAATTAAATAAAATCCAGTCTCATTTCAGTGAAATCAAGGAAGTAGAAATTGGTACTCGAATGGAGATTTAGATCAGAGATCACTCCAAACAACGGCTAAATATCAGGTTCAATTGGCTAAGTACGTATAAAAAGCAACACAAAAATTGGTACAGCAAACAAGCTGCCTTCAGGAAATAATAAACTAAATGCGTAATTTTATTACCTAATAACTTAAATCACCCGCTTGTGGTGATTAGTGGCTATAAAACTTGACTATCAATTACTTTGTCATGAAAGACAGGTGTAACTTTTGCTAATGTTTTGGTTGTTAAAATGACGAAAAGAATGTAGGGCATTGGTACAATGTTTTCAACTGAAAGCTGTTCAAAAAAATTAACTATGGGCACAAGATTCAAGATTACTTGAAAATAAAAGCTAGCACGAATGATCGGGTGGAATTTTCCTCCAGTAAAAGAATTTAATGATTATGTATTGAATAAAAACTGAATGCGGTCATGTACCATTAAATCATATAGATGATTGTGTGGTCTAAGGTTCATGAGTTATGTTAATGTCCTAACAAAATTATGACCTGACTATCAGGCTTAAATTATTACCCAATACGCCGAAGATGCACATTCAAAACCTATACCAACAATTCTAATTTTTATGGATGAGTAGTATTACCATTCCTTGCCAAAATGTCAGTCAGCCAGTAAGTTACAACGTAGAACTTCGTACGTAAGTACATCAGTTCAGGTTTCCATACCCTATCAGCACACAGACGCAACTGTCACTTCAAATCCCATGGTGGTAGAGATGGTAGAAGTATTACTAGTAATGGAGAAGATAAGGGTTCCAAGATATTATTCAAGAAGTATAATTCTGTGACATAAGTTTAGAAAGAGGTGGTAATGACGAATTCAAAAGATAAAAATTTCATAGAAAACGAGTGGATACACTTGCGCCATTGCAAACGGTTTTGAGTCATGTCATTCAAGGTCTCTAACCATCGGTCAGAATAGTATCGTGGACCCCAACCAGGTAGTTTCCACTTATCAACATGATTAAGTCCACTTGTCAGTGACTTCATGCATTTGTGCCATGTTTTGGTTTGGCCGCCTCTAGCTTCCTTTCAGCTTACTCCTACAGCACATAACATAGCTCGTCGAGGCAGTCGGTGGTTGGGCATACGTAACACATGTCCCAACCACCTCAACTGATGAAGCTTCAATACTTCATCTAATGATTTGCTATACCTACCTAGTACTTGTTTCCTAACCATAGCATTACTTACTCGGTTGTCCCACGATACTCGACCAATGCTTCGGAGGCACCTATGATCGAAAACCAGTAACCTACGAATATCTTCTACTCTCACTGGCCATGTTTCACAGCCATAAAGTAAGACGGAGCGAACTACTGCGCAGTACACTCGTCCATTAGTCAGCAAACGGATATCTCGCCTGCGCCATAAGTGACGCAGGTTGGCAAAAGCCATTCGAGCCTTCTGTATCCGTGCCGAGATTTCGTCAGTCACCAGGCCATCGGCCCTGATGAGACTACCAAGATAAGTGAAGCGGTCTACACGTTCGACTACTTCACTCCCTATCACTAGTTCAGGTGCCAATGCAACTCAATCTTGAAGCAACATTTTGCATTTCGAGGGTGAGAACCGCATCCCGAACATGCTTGCATTGTTGCTTAGGGTAGTCAGGAGACTCCATTTCGTTGGTGTCATCACCAAGTGGGACTATGTCAGAGGCATATTCCAAATCAACCAATCAATCTCCTGGTAGAAGGTCCACCCCTGAAAAATCTGACGAGGATAATGTTAACTCTAAAAGCATATGTATGACAAAGTAAAACAGGGATGAAGAGAGTGGACAGCCCTGACGGACACCACTTGAAGTAAAGGATTTCAATGACAGTTCGCTGTGAGCTCTCACTCCACCACTGGTGTTCGAGTAGAGAGCTTGTATAAGGTTACTGTACTTCTTTGGTATACCTTTCAATGACAGACACTGCCAGGAAACCTCACGGTCAACAGAGTCAAACGAGGTCCAGGAAGACAACTATTGTTCGGTGTCTGAATGTGTCTTTATTCTAGGACCTGATATAGTGTGAACATCTTATGCGGCCACGCCCAGGTCTGAAACCAGACTAGTTTTTTCGAGTCTGCTCTTCACAAGCTCTAGTTAGGCGTCTAAGTATAATGGAGGCTAACAATTTAGAAACTATATTAGTTAGACTTATTCGCCAGTGATTGTCACAAGAAGACTTTTGTACTTTCTTATAAATTGGGACAGTCAATGATTGGGACCAGTCAGATGGTATTATGTCCAGTTCCAAGATTCTACATAAGATCTTAGTCAATCTAGCTGCTAAAACTGGACCACCATCCTTAAAAATCTCAGGAGTCAATGTATCAGGACCCGCTGCTCTCTCTCGCTTCAGACTTCCTATTGCTTTCTCAACTTCATAAAGACTAGGAGGACTTAAGTCGATTTGACATTCAGGATGACTGAAGTAAACTTTTTCTTAGCCTTAGAGTTTACCTTAGTAGCAGATATCACTGGTTTCCACATACTTTTTGATATCATTCCAAGCTGCCTCAGGGTGAGCATCACTTACTACATGGCCGCCTAACTGTCTTTCTAGTTGCAACTGAAATATAGTCTCAGCTTTATTATCATTAAGTAGAGCCATAACGGGCTTCCTTGAGACATTTTTCTTGCGTCCAGTAAGGCGTAAACAAATACGCACTCGCATCAGAGCATGGTGTGAGACTAAACAAGTGCCCCAGAATGAGAGGCAGTCTTCAAAAGAGCCTCTCCACCTTATAACGATGTAATCTTGTTTGGTTCATCGCTGGGTCGGCTTTGGGGGTCGCCAGGTCAAAAGGTGTTTTACCTTATGCCTAAAGTTAGTGTTTGCTAGAAAGAGGCGATTATCGGAGCATAGTTACAGCAGACGGTCGCCATTATCTGTTCTATTAGCCGCAACACCATAACATCCACCCAGATTTCTTTCCTTTTCACTGAGTCTACCTACTTGAGCGTTAAAATCACCAGCCATTATTACTATATCAGAGCGCTTAACACTTTGGAGAAGTTTAGAGAGGTTTCTATAAAACTTATCTTTTATGTCGTCTGAACTGCTTATGTGCAAAGCACAATTAACTTAGGTTGACAGAAGCCAGACGAACATTCTGAATACGCACCGAGGTCTCATTACACAATAACACACCATGACTGATGAAGCCTCCAGTGAAAATTAAATTCACCTCCAGACTACTTAAGAAATAATTTCATCCAGCTGGTTAATTCCAAATAGGATGAAACACGCATCCTGGACTTCACTGCTAGCTACATTTTATCTATTCCATATTTTCATGGATATCAATTTTCTGATTATTTGATACTTATGAATTAAAGTGATAGGATATTCTGGTTAACATGACTGCGTACAGCTGGCAAGTCTACGGTGAATTGTATTTATTTTTACTTAACCATATTATGGACAGTCAATAATTCAAAATATATCCCTCCAAAAACTTGGATGATAAAAGTGCTTTAAAATTAATCTTACGGTTAATGTGTGCAAGTGGGATCCCTTAAATGCGTCAACCAGACGAATATGAGTTCCATTGGTTGTTATCAAGAGAGCCTTTCCGTCAGAAGAAAATTGCAAACCTGTCCAAATGCATCCACTTGTCTCTAAACCCAATTTGAATGTAGCAAAAGGTCCTTTATCAAATGATCGTAGGTCATAAAGTTTCACGGATTCGGAATTAATCCCAGCTGCAAATATCAATCCTTCTGGATCAAAAGCTGCTGTTGGTCGACCAGAAACATGCATTACACCCTTGGGGAGAAGTCATTTAAAAAACAAAAACATGGGGAATTTATAAAAATGATAAGAAGCTGACTTACTGTACCCATCATCATAATTATCAACAGCAACCAAGAACTTTTTATGTGAGTACATCAGTTCAGCTTGCCATACCACATTACCACGGAGACGTAATTGTTAATTCAAATCACATAGTAGTAGAGGTAGTAAGAGTATCAGCAGTAACCGGAAATTTTAGGGTTCCAAGATATTATTCAAGAAGCATAATCCAGTGAAATGAACTTAAAAAGGCAAAGATAAAGGTCATGAGGAACGCTGAAGGTTAGGATTTGAGAGAACACAAAGAGTAAATGCACCTGCACCATTGCAAACAGTTTTGAGCCATGTCATTCAGGGTCCCTAACCATCGATTACTTTCATCTCGCGGGCCCCAACCAGGCAGTCGACACCTACCAACATGACTCAGTCCACTTGTCAGTGACTTCATGCATTTGTACCATGTTTTGGTCTGGCCGCCTCTAGCTTTCTTCCAATCTACTCCTACATCGCAAAACATAGCTCGACGAGGCAGTCGGTGGTTGGGCATACGTAACACATGTCCCGAAACTTTACCAGCTAGATTATGAGGCTAAGTCGAAATCTGTTACCGAAGACTACAAGTTTTTTCAAAAATAAGCAGCAGCAGGATTCTGTGACTTGGAAACTAAGCATATGGACCATTAATAGCAATAAAATGACGAGTAATAAATGGTGATACAGAGTAAAGCATACATGGCAGTTGGGTGACCTTAAATCCCACAAACGAATTGTACTGTCCATTGAACCAGACAGGAAGGTGTCGTCAATAGGCGACATACACAAAGAGACAACCCTTGGGATATGAATATTAATTCTACTAACTTACCTTTTAGTATGGCTTTGGAAGTACCTGATGTACTTATTGTCGTGTAATGAAAGGTAACGTATTGTATCTTGTAAATGCATATATTAAAAGCTAATTACCATCAATTTTTGTTGAAGCGTGAATTGCAGTAGTTGGACTGTGGGTGAACTGTATCAAGTTTACCCCATATTTTTTGCTGTTAAGTGTACGTTTAGGTCTATGGTCGGGAATAAAAACATAATAAATGCGAAACTTACGTTCCACTAGAACAATCGTAGGTCACCATCTGATCATCATCACTGCTAGAAATAAGCGTCTCACCATTGCTGGAATAACTTAGAGAGTTAATACGGTCAGAGTTTTCCTTAAAATATTTCACAGGTTTAAATGTCCGGATGGTAGAATCTGTCAACTTCATTGGCGCCAATACAAGACGAAATACCGTTTCCAGTAACCAACTCAACCTTGAAAGTTGAGAGACGCAGTGCAATATCCAATATCCAATATCTTTTTCACGAGCTAGTGTAAGCCAATTTGATTTCTTCGCGCTCGATTCTTGTTCTTTCGGTTCCAGGTTCCAGGTGTTCGGCAATGTCCAGTGGATGGAGGTCTAGCCACTCGACTGTCTAATTCTAGTCAGTTGGCAGTTGGTTGTGAGTTTGTATGTCTCGGGATTTGAATGAAACGTTTGTTTCAGGGCAGTAGGGTTTCTGGATACTAGCAGCCGTCACATTACCAAACCGGAGATCAGTTAGTTGCAATGTAGAGAGTTATAAGGGTAATAAGGATAAAATTAAAATGATAATATGAGTAAAATTTCAGAACTGAGTAATATATAGATGAATTTAGTTTGTTAATCCATTATCCAATATCTGTTACACAACAATGACAAAAACTAGGAAGTTCAAGAGATACACTAGGCAAAGCTGGTCTAAGAGGAAGTTGATAATCCATATATCAACAGTATATAAAGTTTCGTAATGAAGCTATCCACTGAGATGGTACAGAAAATGTGGAGCTCAGGTGGATGATTGTGGTGAAATTTCAAGGATATTAAAACATCTGGAGGATGAATCCAACTACTCCATTGAGTCTGCCACACAATTCTTGGATAAACTCAAGGGGATTCAAATCGGCAACGACGAAACGATGATATCCTTCAACGTAACAGCCTTATTCACTTCAATAGAGCTAAAGAAACTCTTTCCCTGCTCCTAATCAACAACACAAATCTGCAAAGATATACAAAGCTTCAGAGCCAAAATCTGCTTGAACTCATTGATCCATACTTAATAACGTATTTGCAATTCAACAACAGTCTACGAACAAACAAAAGGAACTCAAAATGGATCACCAATATCAGGACTTATCGCGGAAGCTGTAATGTAGAGACTAAAAGCGTCATTTAACCAGTTATCAAGCCAAGAATTTGGGTTCGCTATGTAGACGGTGCATTCGTCATTATCAAAAGGAACGAGCTCGAGAACATCTACAATCAGATCAACAAAGTCTTCGATGACATCGAATTCACGATGGAAAAGGAATCAAATAAAGGTCTATCATTCCTGGACATACTAATCACCAGGACTAACACAGGAAAACTGGGAACTCAAGTATTTTGTAATTCAACCCACACACGTAATTTTCAACTACGATTGCAACAACCCAAGGACCCGAAAAATCAACTGCATACAAACGTTGTTCAAGTGAACCAAGACACTGCGGCATATATGAAGCACTAAAAAACGAGAAAAAACATCTTATGACTATCTTCCAAAAGAACAGCTATCCATGCAACTTCATCAAAATACATCAATCAAAATCGTTAACACAAGCGGAATCAAGTACAGGAACCAATATACGGATCATCCTACCATACATAAAAGACATCAGAGCAGATAGCACGAATACTGAAACCATTTGGAATAGGTGTGGCACACAAACCAACAGAATCACTTCAATCAATCCTTTGTAGACCAAAGGACATAATGACAAAGGAAGAAAAACCAAATATCATCTACAAAATGAATTGCTCAAACTGTGAAAAACACTACATAGGACAAAGTGGACGGCTTCTTCAGCTTCGTTTACGTGAACACCAATTAGCAGTCAAGTGCCACGACAGTTTTTCGCTTATATCAATACGCACCGAAAGTTATGTACATACACTCGATTTGGACAATGTGGAAATACTGGGTAGGGGGATGACGAAGAACAACAGGGAATTTTTAGAAGCTTGGCACTCAGGTCAATCAGCGATCAACAATCACATCAGCATTGACCACATTTATCAACCAGTCGGAAAAATCATAGGTGACATAGGATCAAGAAACAGATCAAAAGGGGGATACAGTAAAAACAAAGGTGCAAACAACGACAGATTTAAGGTCAACAGCAACCAATCAAGATCGAGGTTAGCAGAACAAGCTACAGATCAAGCGTGAAGAAATTCAAATGATTCACTTCTATCTCAAGTTTGTGCTGATGATGTTGTTGCTTCACAACCAAAGCATCCAGCTCAGAGAAGGAAGGAAGGTCACATCTGCAGACACAGCTGTGTCGACTCGAACTTCATTAACAAAAAACAATTGGTCAATTAGTAAATTGATTATTCTGACAGAACAAACGTGTGAACGGATTATCGGATATTTTTTATTCGCACTTTTCTTTCACGCAATGATTTTTCATCTGTTTGAATTCATACTGATATTACAGTTCGGTCACATGGCTTCTCCTTCTCGGTATTACTTCGATAGCACGAAATCGCCAGCCAGTTGCTGCTTTATTTTCCTTTCACCAGCCTGGATAAGTAGAGGTGTACAGTTAATGTTCTAGTACGGAAAGAGAATGCTCTGAGTAAACATATGTATCTTGTGAAATATTTACGTAACTGGACAACCTTTTTCAGAAAGTGTGTCGCCAATTTCAACATTTGTATCCTGCCTGTAAATTGACATGCCTGTTGTCACGTGTTGTTATTTGAGAATAAATTATTATTATTAACTCCAAATGGGGAAATATGTGCACGGACCTGATTGTTCATTCTACTTTCCTTGAAGTTTTTGCTGTTTCGCCGATGTTTGTGCATTGTAAACATATTTAGCTCACACTGTAGCAAATAATCATTGTTTGTCTTGTGAAATATTTACATAATTCAACAAAATTTTTTTGAATGTGCGTTACGAACTTTAACATTTTGATCGTTCCTGTAAATTGGCATGCCTGCTGTTACATGTTTTCGGAGAATACATTTTTCAATAACGATATGTATTTATCGGGGGAAATTCTTCTTTATTTCTTTAACCTTCAGTATATCAGGTTGTCGTACGTTGCGAAATAAAAATTTGCGATATTCAAAAATAGGATTTTCTCATTCCTTGTAAAGAATCATCCTGAACCCTCTATAAATGAAACCTAGCGTTATTCTTATTCGGGAAACTTTGTTGGACGTTTGTTCGAAGTTTAGGTTGTGCGATTAATTCATTCCAAGGTCGATTACTATGCCAAGTTAAGGAAGTACATTAGTGCTGAGAGTGAGACTTATTTTGGCAGACGTTTCTCCAAAACACATCCAGTCACACCTCTCAGTATTCCGTTCTAAGTTCCAATGCTTGCACTAGCTATCTACATTACTGAATTTTATACTGAATATTAAATCCACGCACAGGTGGATTCAGGAATAACTGTTCAGGAACTTTCGATACGCGCATTGCCTAGCAGAAATTGGAAAGCAACAGTTCTGGTTACGTAACGGTTTTATTATTAATCACATATGTAAATATCTAAATTTCTGAGTTCCTACTGAATTGTTTGCATCAAATTTCGTACGTCAAATTCGTTAGTTTTACAGGTCATTTTTAGGCCATAAGCATACAGGTAGGATTCGTCAGTTTTGAAGCAAATGTATATAATGTTGATGAAGATTACCGAAGGCAGAGGACCTAAGACACCTCTCTGCACAACACCACTGGTAACTGGTTGAGGTAAATACTTGATGGGATTTGTTTGTGTAATTTGGTATTGATTCGTGAGAGCAGACCTAATTCATTGCAATAGGTGGCCAGTAATTCCGATGAACTGAAGAGTGTGAGGTACCTTATCGAGAGCCTACTTGATATCAAAATACAACACAATCACTGTTTGCTTTTGAACGTATTTGCCGGTAACTTCACTAGAGCGATCTTTAGTGTTGACCGAGTTGAGACTGACTTTGATCACCACTAAACATTCATTACTATCCCGTCGCAAATTACGGAAATAAATCCAGAATTCATTATTTACTTGAAGGAAGTAGGCGTTAAATCGAAAAGAAATTTATGAAAGATGACAACAACGCGAAAAAGAACGTTGTGAGGAAGTAAGTGTTTTTGATACAGTTAAACAAAAACGAGTACAGTAATAAATGTTTATTTTACACTAATCGCGTTTTCCTCGGAGAAGTGTTCCACTACAGATCTATCAGACTTGTAGCACACGACCCAAATTACTTCCTATTAAATCGCCAGTGTTGAATTTAGTGTACAGAACATTCCTAAGGCGATTAGTACACTGAAGCAGGACCAGATGGTATCCCAGCTAGCATGCTGAAAAATAGGAGCTATTATTTGTGTGTTATTCTTCTGAAACTATTTACTACATCACTCTATACAGATTGTTACCCTAATAACTGGAAGACTAAACATATCATCCCCACAGTTAAATCTGGGCCTACAGTGAATGTTGAAAACTACCTACTCATCAACATAACTTCAGTAGTATCTAGGGTGATGGAGAAAGTAGTTAAGGCAGAGTTACTACGACGTCTACTTAGTAACAATCTGATATCGACCTCACAGCATAGGTTCTTGAGGTCCAGGTCGTGTGATACATGTCTGTTAGATTATTTCAACGATATCACGCATAAACAAGACAAAGGGCTTCTAGTATCAGTCCTTTTCTTCGATTTTAAAAAGGCTTTTGATAAAGTCCCACACAAAAGGCTTCTACTTAAACTAAAGTCATTCGGAATCATTAACCCACTACATTCATGGTTTGCTTCATTCCTAAATGGGCGACAACAAATGGTTAAGTACAACGGCTGTCTTTCATCCCCAAGACCAATAACCAGTGGAGATATCCGGGGAAATGTATTAGGTCCACTCTTGTTTCCGATGTACATAAACGATATATTTAATACAATAAGATTTGGAAGAGCATACTTATATGCTGATGATCTGAAAATAGTATGCAGCTATAAGCCTGAAGATCTGGACGGAAATATAGCCAGGATCCCGAGTGATCTTGATAACTTAACTACCTGGAGCGAGACATGGCAACTGCCGTTTAACCACAACAAATGTGGCATAATGCATTTTAGTAGGCGTCACCAGGATACACCACTGTTCTTACAAAAATGTAGGGTTCAGACACTTATATCAGCGCGCGACCTGGGTATCAGTTAGTCTAGAAGCCTAAAATTCGAAGAACATGCCTCAAATATTATCTCTAAATCTAGACGACTAATTGGGTTTATAAACAAGAACTTCTTCACAAGTGAGGCTAAGCTTACACTCTTCAACATCTGTATTAGGCCCCCACTTATATTTTCAAACATGAATATCATGGACAAAATGCGAGTAGAAAATGTACAAAGAAGCTTCACCCGGCAACTGCTCGGACAGA